ACTCTGAAAAAATATTAACCAATACATTGAAATAAATTGTCAAATAAGCATATTTTTAATTTTTTGTTTTGCCTATCTGGATTACTGAATACCAGACATGGACACTTTTTTGCCCGCGCAGTAGCGAAAGTGCGAACGCGGGCTGGGGAAAGGGAAAAACAGTTTACGGGAGGAAGGGTATGAAAAGTTGCGAAAAAATTATTTGTATCCCACCGACATCATGTTCATCGCAGTACGGCTGCGGTAATACTGACTTTGTGTACCAAACAAAGAGCATACATTTTCCTCATATACACAATAAGCCATCGTTCGGACTTCGCTCCGATAGGAGTAGATTTGTTCCGTTTTGTCGAAAAAATTTGAAACCTAGTCCTCTACTTCGCTCAGCTGAAAATCTGCTCCGTTTTGTTGCATCAACAAATTTACTCTTCAAATAGAAAGGAGGTGTGGTTTTTAATAGTAAACTAAAAGTTATATTTTACCTTTATATCGACACGATTGTTACATTGGTGAGCTACAGCAACTTTGCAAATACACTTGAATTCGTGAATAGGCCCTCACAATCGGCCTATCTGAACCCGATCGAAAAAGATTGCTCTGTCTAAAGTTCTGTAATTGCGTCGTTGCCCACCGATGAAACAATTGTCGCGGTAAAGAATGAAATAACTTCTTATTAATTTTAACCAAGGCATTTTAACTTTAATGAATGGATTAAGGCGCCTTTATACGGGTCGATTTTCTATTAGATTTTTGTCGTTCAACCAAAATCGAGCCGTGCAAATGACATCTCATCCACTAGCTGGTCGATTTTCCAGTCTACGGATATCGACCCTTATAAGGCCGCTTTAGCTCCTTATTTGTACAAGGATACGAAGAGAAATTAATTGTTTTTTGTAAAGATAAGAAATGCACATCTACTACGAATACTTGATATTTACTTCCATTTTTGTCGTCCGAACCCAGCAAAGAGCGCTCGGCGAAGGTCAGCTAGTGATCAAATTTGCCAACAGGGCTGCCAAACATACATAGCTATGAAGTGCCATATTGAGGATAAAAAAGTGCTAAAACGTGCCAAATAGAAAATTAAAAGTGCCAAAAAAGGTGTCATTCTCTTTAGTTCTTCCCATTAGCATTAAAGTTAGACAAATTAAAACAAAAGCCCAATGTCAAAGTAAGATAAACCTGTTGTATACACTATAGAAATTAGAAAATTTTAGTTGAGAAAAGAAGTACACGCAAAGGATTTCACAAAAATGTATTTAAATTTGGCTTTTTTTTCAAAAGTGCCATTTTGGCACTTTGTGCAAAATTTAAAAATTCAGTGCCATTTCAAGTAAAATAGTGCCAAAAATGGCACGGTTGAGCCAAGTTGGCAGCCCTGATCGCCAAGTTTTTTTTATTTAAAAAAGCACCAAAATACTGAAAATAGCGCAAAGTAAAAAAATAAACAATATTTACATGTGTAAATAAATACACATTCATGCTTACGAAGTAATACCGAACTGGTAAAACTGGTACATCTGGAGAAAGAACAATCGAATCGCAACGAACGAAATGGAATTTTGAAGGGGAAGAGTAATACTTATTGATACCCTAAGTAGAAATGAGTGAAAAAATTTGTTGTTTTATAATAAACCGTGTTTTTACACTTAGAGGTTAGGATATCTCAAAATTCTGACGTGGTAGAGAAATTCTACAGCCAGATTTGGATTCAGCACCGAAAAATCTAAAAACCAATGAACTCAGGTGGCAAAAAAAGTTAAAATTTTTCGGACTGTGTAATCAATCAATAATCAAGAAAATAAAAAGTAAACACTTCACTTATCTGCGTGCTAGCATTTTCAACGCGAATACAATTTAACAAGAACGCAAGAACGAGGGTTTGCAACTTCATCTTTTTATCAATCATGGTTTGCATTTTGGTGCATTTAAATTTGTAGATTCTTGTAAATTCAGAAATTTTAGTTCAGAAAAAAGCACTAAAAAGTGCACTAGGCACTAAACCATTTTTTTGGCGTTTTAATTTTCAAAAAGCACTAAATCTAGTGCTTAAAGCACCAAGTTGGCAACTATGTATACAAGCATGGACAGAAAGTGAGCGCCTGTTTAAAGAGCGTAAGCATCACATGCAAATACATGCGAGAGCGTAGCAAAGCGAACGCAAATTCATTCAAACGTAATTGGCACACTAACCCAATCACGCTTTCAGCTCGCGTTTACTTGTGGTAGTGATCACATCTGCTCATATACACTCCTCGTCATTTGAATTGCACACCCTTTCAATGCTTAGTATTTACAGTTTTCCGTTTGTTTATTTAATACNAAATTTGTTGTTTTATAATAAACCGTGTTTTTACACTTAGAGGTTAGGATATCTCAAAATTCTGACGTGGTAGAGAAATTCTACAGCCAGATTTGGATTCAGCACCGAAAAATCTAAAAACCAATGAACTCAGGTGGCAAAAAAAGTTAAAATTTTTCGGACTGTGTAATCAATCAACAATCAAGAAAATAAAAAGTAAACACTTCACTTATCTGCGTGCTAGCATTTTCAACGCGAATACAATTTAACAAGAACGCAAGAACGAGGGTTTGCAACTTCATCTTTTTATCAATCATGGTTTGCATTTTGGTGCATTTAAATTTGTAGATTCTTGTAAATTCAGAAATTTTAGTTCAGAAAAAAGCACTAAAAAGTGCACTAGGCACTAAACCATTTTTTTGGCGTTTTAATTTTCAAAAAGCACTAAATCTAGTGCTTAAAGCACCAAGTTGGCAACTATGTATACAAGCATGGACAGAAAGTGAGCGCCTGTTTAAAGAGCGTAAGCATCACATGCAAATACATGCGAGAGCGTAGCAAAGCGAACGCAAATTCATTCAAACGTAATTGGCACACTAACCCAATCACGCTTTCAGCTCGCGTTTACTTGTGGTAGTGATCACATCTGCTCATATACACTCCTCGTCATTTGAATTGCACACCCTTTCAATGCTTAGTATTTACAGTTTTCCGTTTGTTTATTTAATACAAATTTTTTGTAAAAATATCGTCACTATATACGAATAAAGGCGCGCTGGTGTTTTGACGGTGAAAAAAAGCGTTTAAAAACATTTTGCGAAAAAAGATGCTTATAAAAACTTTGGCGAAGTATGTTAAGAGTATTTGACGCTGAAATTTTTTTATGCGTCTTTTTTCGCCGTCAACTTTTGAGCTCGCGCCTTTATTCGTGTCTAGTGACGATATAGCATATTCTACGGGTAAATGCAATTTTAAAATTTTTTACAAACTAAAACTTAAAAGAAAGTTTATTTTCCATTTCTTGGGCAGCATTTTATATGATTTTTTCGTTTTTCTCGAGAGCTGGAAACAGTTCTTAAAAAAGGTCAACATAGGAGTGTGCCATCCTAATGACCTGCAGTGAATAAGTTAATAATATTTTTAGAAAAATTTCTGATATGCAGTTTTGTAGCCCATTCAATTATAGTGTAATTAAGTGCAAGTTTGAAGTGACTCTAAAACAGCCCCGATTTTTCAAATTCATTTATTTTTTATTGACAGTGCTGCGCATTTTATTCCATATAAAAGTTTTGTCGAGCATACTTTGTATGAGAGAAAATGCGCAGCACTATCTCCAAAAAAATTGTCAAAAATTACCGCTATTTTACAGACACTTGAAACTTGCACTTTATTGTACCCCTTTGTTGACATTTTTTTAACTCTGTGTAAAGTTTTAAAATCGGATGTAATGAATATTAAATAAACAAAATTAAGTGTAAATACTAAAGATTAAAAAGTTGAGCTATTCAAATGACGAGGAGTGTATGTGGCGTACGTTTGGGAGAGTGAGCCTTTTTACTTGAGAATGCGTGTGCAGTGGCTCTCATTGCTACACGTGAGATTTGTTGCCCCCTTCCCGTTTGCCCAAGATTTTCCCCTGATCAAGCCCGCGAAATGGGTTCGCTTGCCCGTACGGGCAAAAAAGCCCATACGGGCAAAAGTGCCCATGTCTGCTGTATACAAGAATGATAGAATACAAGATTGCGCCGATCAGAGAGGATTTTTGAGAATAACTTTTGTGTGACGTCACACTGGTGCAATTGCGAGAGAGAAATGCCAAAACGTGAGCAAGAATGGAAGAAGAAGAAAAAATGTTGCAAGGAAAACGTAAACAAGTTTCACAAGTGTGACGTCATGCAAACAACGATTCTGTCAAATTCGTTAAGAGAGGAATAGCGGTCCGAGATCGGCGCAACCTTTGTATTCTCTCAATCGTGTGCTGTATACTGTGATTTGAATGTATTGGTTGATATTTTTTCAGAGTTGTCGTTTTCTTTAACCCAAATGAAATCCAATTTCAATATTTTCTTATAGTGGAAAATGTTTTCAAGTCACATAAAATAAAACAACGAGAAAAACAAAATTCCTAGCAAATCAGGCTTGCAGCGTAAGCGATTATAACTGGATGCAGTTCCTACATAAGTCATATCTGGTTCCAAACACAACTTTGAGTGAATAATGCTGGGCTGATTTTGGAAAATGGACCCATAAATTAGGGGGTCAAACCAGTATTACTTAGCTTAAAGGTAGAACTCTCTAATTTTCAAATATACCACTCTTATAGTGGAGACCTACAAAGTTTTTATGAAATATGTACCCAAAGTTGTATATCGACGCTCGAACAAATGCAGGAAAGGTTTATGCAGATAAGCAAGGACGTTTTTTAACGGTATAAAATGTATATACACATATTCTTACATACATATTTATCAAAATATTCAGAATGACGAAATGAATTGGTTCAGTCGTGTCTGCTTGTAAACACGCTAACTCGAACAAAATTTAGATATTTTAACGAAAGTCGGTGCCGAAGTTGCCTTTGGTATAATTTAGGTTAGTATTACATTTTGGTGAAATCTGTCTATAACCACGACCACCTCCCATGTTGCCCACCAGTCATTGCCTATGGGTTAATGACAAAATAATCCTATACATGCACCATGATGCAATAATGAAAGGTGTTATACGTTGGCAACTTCTCGCTCTAATCCGCCATCTTGAACTACCTTAGGAGAAACTGTGTTGTTTCTTTGCTATTTTCACTGAACATTTCCCAAAATATTAGAAAAAAATTCTGAACAAGCTACATTGATTCAATTTTCGTTGTTCGTTTTGTTCTTATTCGCTGACATTTGTTTTCCAATTGCGTGAAATTTGGTAAGTATTGTAATAAAACCGAATTATTTTACATATAAATTATAATTTTGCATTTATTAGGTCATTTCCTTAGTGTTTCGCTGACCGACCTGTGCTGGTATTGTGATTAAGAGCTAATACACGTAAGTTACAACATATTATTTTGACTTTATTGATGAACCATTCCATTTGAGCTCTTTGTTATTTCAAAACCTAATGAACCATTTATTCGCAGATTTTTCGGACGATTCTGCTGTGCTGCGTTCCTGCTCCGCCTGTATATTGCTCCGCCCGTATTTTATAGTGTTGCGTTCCTGTTGCGCCTTTGCATTAGTTTGTGCGTTGTGATTTAGACACGTTGAAGTAAGTTGAAACCAGGTTCTCGTTTGTTAAAAACCTAAAAAACCATTTATTTGCAGATTTTTTGTATGCTTCTGCTGTGCTGCGTTCCTGCTCCTCCCGTGTATTAGATTGCTGCGTTCCTGTTAACATACATATCGTCGCTTAAAGTACAAAACCGCGTAACTGACATTTGCTGCTAAAAATTGGATTCGCTCACACACGTTTTTGGATCAATCCTTATCCATTCTTCCTGAAATATACTAGCCCAAAATGCGATTGCTTTTTACAAAATGATAACCATTTTGAAATATGAGTGTTTTTACTCTCTAGAAATTAATTTATGCAACCTCGCATACGTGGGTTTGCATTATCTCTATACGCGGTTTTGCAATTTATTGATACATGGTTTTGTATTTTAAACGACGATATGTATGTAGATGTATGTACATGTATATCACATATATTGACTTAGATATGTATACACAATTAATGGTGTACATACATTTTTTTATATTGAAACTAGATATGTATATAGTACATATTTTATTATTATTATTAGTCGGTTCAAAAAAGTCCTATCTCAAATAAAAATACTTCGAAAATGTGCTGAGATAGGGTGTTTTTGAACCGAGTTCCGAGATAGGGCATTTTTCAATTAAATTCTAAAATAGGGCGTTTTTCAGTCAAATTTTGAAATAGGGCGTTGAAAAGCTTTCTGATATCGGGCGTTTTCGACCTGGCTGCCGAGATAGGTCGATCTACTACTCAGCCATCGATATATGGTCGAAGTTTTCGTTATATGGAAGACGATTGAACACGATTTGTTTTTAATCGATTCTAAAAAAAACTAAGGTAATTTTTAGCCACTTCAAACTTGCATATAATTAGACTAAAATTGAAGGGGCTATAAAACTGAGTGCTCAAAAAAATTCTAACACTTCTGAGAAAAAAGTTTGAATTTTGGTTGAAAATTTGTTGTATTTTTTGTAGTTTTCTACGATGTTTTAAAATTCGGTTTATATGGGTTTTGTTAGATATTCAACTTTACTTTTGTTGCAAATTCTAAGCAATAAATAAATTAACATGAGAGGGAAATAATATCACTTTGAAATGGGGTTGCTATTGATATGACCGATACTGTATGTATATAATAAATTTTGTACAATTAAAAAAGTGGATTTACTAAAATGAACACAACGTATTAATTACAAATTCCGAAATATGTTGTTAATTTCAAAAACAAATAAATAAAACTTTAAAAAGTAGTCAATGCTTGCTGTATGACACGAACTTGGATATACGTGGACTTGGGTAATGTATAATTCCTTATATGATTCCTCAAAGTATCCCTTGTATAACACTGTGGAACACAAAAAAACCTTAGTGCGACTATATCAGGTTTGATAGCTGTTGGCCATACCAATAATGCCTCATACTAAGATTTACTAGGTCAATTCGTGTTCTCCGAGAAAAAAAATTTTCACGATCCAAAAATCTTAAAAATTGTTTTTCTCCAAAGTTTGAACATTTATCGTTTTTGGCCTATATTTTGTTGAAAATACCATACAAAGCAAATATAGGGCAAAAAACAAAGAATTTTCAAAATTTTGAGAAAAGAATTTGGCAGCTATACTCAGATTTTTGAATCGTGAAATTTTTTTTTCTCGAGAACACGAATTGATCAAGTAAAACTGAGCATGAGGCATTATTGGTATGGTCAACAGCTATGAAACCTGATATATGCGCACAAGAAGCCTATATGAAAGAGGGGGACAAAAGATCACACGTAAATGAATTCCTCTTTTTGGCCTGTACAATATAAGGGACACATTTCAAATTCATAAGGGATAATTTTCTTAGTGATACGGCTCATAAAAGGAATTATATAAGCCATACTGTTCTAGCTGGGTATTCATCAGCTCGAAAATTTTAAGCATATTATCAAATTCCTGTGAATAAAAACACGCCTAATTTTATTATTTTAATTATCTACAATTTTATGAGACTACCAAGCCATATACCTATTCTGATAATCGGAACGCTGTTGAGAAGGCATACAATTTAGTACTTTTTCAACTAAAAGGCTGTTTTTTATTCCCGTTTATCTTGTACTTCCAAAATACAATATTGACCTAAGGTAGTTCGATTTCGAGCTGTCACAACGTACAACACCTTTCATTATTGCATCATGTACATGCACAATATTTCATGTATTAATTTTCAAATAAGCATATTGTCAATGGCAATCGCACGATTTTTCATTAAAAATGTTCATTATTTATCGAAGTATTAATTTTTATGGAACTAAACTTGAAGCAAAGCAGCAAAGAGAAAACAACAAAGATAATGCGATAAAAATTGCTTTGAAGACTTGACGTGTCTGAAAGGGGACAAAGGTGCTATTGTGGAAAAGTTATTTGTTAATACCTTTCGATCGGGTGAAAAAAGGTAATTTCCGCTTTCGGACCCGTGTTATTGGAGTCCAGAGGCGTCTAATGGTATCCCCCTCCAAATTTTGACCAATTTTGGCGGTTTAAAGCCTACCTAGATAATTACCGTTTTTTGTTTATAACTTTCAAATGGTTAATAATATTAGCCCTCCCCCTCCGGATTGTTAATAGAGGGACCGAAACACGTCGTTTGGTACCCCTCCCGACTTTTCCGGACCTTTTTTAGGGGTTGTGACCCTATACTAGAGATTTAACTCATTTATTTATATTTCACTTTTATGTATGCACATACATATACATATAGTAATTTAGCCTCAGTGGCTTGGCTGCACTTATCCGGCGATGTGCACACTGCAAGCATGAACACAAAATATACTGTGGTTTACTGGTTATATTGTGACACAAAAGGAGTGTGCTCGTACGCCCAACTATCTGAAGTTTTAGAAAACTTTTACTGGTTTTGCGTTCTCGTACCCAAAAAACTTGCAAAGTAGGGGAAATTGAGAGAGCAAAATGCGAAAGAGGGCTGCAAATTTCTGCTGGAAAAATTTTTCCCAGCTAAAACTTGCAAGTGAAAAAATCAGCTGATCACAGACACATGTTTGTAAATAAACAAAAGAAAATATGGTCTTTTTGAGTTATTTATTGCAAATTTTATTATTAATGCTAGTATACAACTAAAAAGTGCGTAAATTTAATAAGCACAACGTTTGTTGAGTTTATTTTTCGTTAATTTGCTATTAATCTCCAGTTTGTTTACTTTAGAGTGTGCTGACTATAGGTGTGTACTCGTATTGAGCAAAAGTTCTGAGAATTTAGCAGCATTCGCTCTCAAAGAGACGAAATATCAACAGAAGTACGAGAACGCGACATTTGCAAAAACTTACAACCTTCGAAACAGCTGATCACTTGCCACTGCTGATTAATTTGGCAATTTATTTTCTGTTTGGTAAAATTTCCCCCGATTTATACAATTGAATAATTTTCGATAAGAAAAAACTTTTTGAAACACAAATCAATTATATGGGAATGAACAAGTTATTTTTCTCATAATTATTTGTGATATCACATGGTGACGCATTCAAAAACAAGAGTTTCTCCTCCAAACAGCCGTCTTTCATCCAAAAACAATGTAATATATATATCTACAGATGTAGCTTTAAAATTATAAAATTTTCATTTCAACAATCAACCTACGAAAACCGAAAACTTCAGCAAAACAACATTTCAGCATGCTGCATTTAAATCTATTTTGGTATATTTAAAGGTAAATTATGGTACAAACGAAAAATGTCATACCGCAACCGTAGTCAGCACACACTAAAGTAAACAAACTGGAGATTAATAGCAAATTAGCGAAAAATAAACACAACAAACGTTGTGCATATTAAATTTACTCACTTTTTCGTTGTATACTAGCATTAATAATAAAATTCGCAATAAATAACTCAAAAAGGCCATATTTTCTTTTTTTTTATTTACAAACAAGTGTTTGCAATCAGCTGACTTTCTTACTTGCAAGTTTTAGCTAGGAAACATTTTTTCAGCAGAAATTTGAAGCTCTCTTTCACATTTTGCTCTCTCAATTTTCCCTACTTCGCAAGTTTTTTGGGTGCGAGAACGTAAAACCAGTAAAAGTTTTCTAAAACTTTAGATAGTTGGGCGTACGAGTACACTCCTTATGGTTGCCGTATGACATTTTTCGTTTGTACCATAATTTTCCGTTAAATATACTAAAATAGATTTAAATGAACCATGCTGAAATGTTTTTTGCTAAAGTTTTCGGTTTTGGTAGGTTGTGTGTTGAAATGAAAATTTTATTATTTTAAACCTACTCTATTACATTTTTTCGGATCAATGAAGGGTGTTTGGAGGAGATACTCTTGTTTTAAATGCGTCACCATGTGATATCACAAATAATTGTGAGTAAAATAACTTATTCATTCCGATATAATTAATTCGTATTTTAAAAAGGTTTTTCTTATCCAAAACTATTCAATTGTATAAAATGCCAAATCGGGGGAAAATGCACCAAGCATAAAATAAATTGCCAAAATAATCACCAGTGGCAACTGTGCAAGTGATCAGCTGTTTAGAAGGTTGCAAGTTTTTGCAAATTTTGCGTTCTCGTACTTCTGTTGATATTTCGTCTCTTTGAGAGCGAATGCTGCTAAATTCTCAGAACTTTTGCTGCTGGAGAATTTTGTCCTCTCAATACGAGTACACACCTAAAATGAGGTTGTTGTTTTTGTTTCCAATGCGATGCTCACAAACCAGAGTACAAACGACGAGCATGCTCGCTGAAAATCAAAATTTTGTGCGCGCACATGTTCGTCGTGTGTAGTCACTGTGAGCAGATAGACTATTAGACATTCGGCACAATACACGACGACACACCCACCAGGATTATGGGTCGTAACAACTGCAAGCGCTGATCGAATAAATGGCGACATATGCTGAGGCTAGCATCGGACCACCTGCCGATAGTCGTTTCGATCGATAAATTTTGCTGACTTTGCTTCTGCAGAAAACCGAACCTACATCAACTTTAATATACCCGATTGGAACGGCTTTGCGGAAGTTACTGAAATCGTGTTGTTGTTGTTTTTGTTGTTGTAGCGGGTACAACAATCATGCCCAGATCGGTTGATATCTCAGTCGTTGTCGTCGAGTTCCACTAACGGCAGCCCCAAGAAGCGTGCAGACTCTGTGGGGTTTTCCGGGCATGCGAAGAGATGTTTCGAGTCGTGAGGGGTCTCTCCGCATGCCGGACATTCAACCGGAACCTCCGTATTTAGCCTACTCAGGTAGTTGTTGTTGTTGTTGTTGTTGTTGTAGCGGCTACAACAACCCCGCCCAGATCGGCTGATATCTCAGTCGTTGTCGTCGAGTTCCACTAACGGCAGCCCCAAGAAGCGTGCTGCTTCTATGGGGTCGGTCCACAGGGACGTCGCCGT